GAGAGAGAGATGGCACAAGCAGGGGGAGGGGCAGGCAGAGGGAGAAGCAGGCTCCCTGCTGAGCAAGGAGCCCAGTGTGGTTCTCCATCCCAGTATCCTGGGATCATGACCTGAGCCCAAGGCAGACTAAGCCACCCAGGCGTCCCAGGACTCTGTCATTTCACATGTGATACTAAATTTGGCTATTTCTGTATTGAAATATTATTTTGCTGTGGTTACATTTTTTCATAGTCTATATATTTTGGTACAGTTATGAGTAGCCCTTATTATTGACGTTGGATGTAATTGGCATGGAAACATAAAATGACTTATGTAAACCAGAATTGAAAAATAATTTTTCATTGTCTATCAAAGAGCTGGTTAATTTAATTTTCAAAAATTGTAATACATGGGGGCTCCTGGGTGGCTCAATCGTTAAGCGTCTGCCTTCGGCTCAAGTCATGATCCCAGGGTCCTGGGATCGAGCCCCGCATCGGGCTCCCTGCTCAGCAGGAAGCCTGCTTCTCCCTCTCACACTCCCCCTGCTTGTTTTCCCTCTCTCACTGTGTCTCTCTCTGTCAAATAAATAAATAAAATCTTTTAAAAAAATTGTAATACATGTGTAAGTAATAGAAATTTAAAATAAATGTGTGTGTAAGGTTCTGTAGCACCTTAAAATATAGCCATCAAGTTTTTATAGAAATCTACCTTTTTAACTGTTTTTAAGTGGTGTTATTTGGTTTTTCAGTGTTAATATATTTTTTCCTCAATTTTCTCCATCTCTCAAAGACATTGTTATTCACATCTCATTTTTTAATTCTTTTATTCCTCTTCCAAAATATATTCACTCCATTATTATTCATTGATTGAATGTCTTAAGTGTTCAGAGTAAACTCATTAGTTTAATTCTTTATTTTCATGAAGTTGGTCTTTTGAGAATAACTTGGAATTCCAGACCAGCATTTTAAACAGATTTTAAGAACAGGAGAGATTGGGATTATACTAGAATTTGTTTTTGTCTTATATTTGACTTCTGTTTATAGTAGTGACTTCTGTTTATAGTAATAACTTCTGTTGTACTTTAGCTAGTTAGCTTATGGAACTCAATATTATACTCCCCAGTTTAGAAAAACCTAAAGAAAAAGTAGAAAGTAATGTTTTGAATCTTAGAATGTTGTTGTAGAAATACTTTTCTTGTCCCAGTAATAATCTTTTTCTTTGCTAAATCTTTATAGTTATGATCAGTGATACAATTATCTTCTGACATATAAAATGTAGATGGTAAAGAACAGTGACTGCTGATAGCATGGGAAATATAAGATATAAGTACTTTGGAGTCATAAGAAAAGCTCAGTCTGGGTCCAGTTTTTCCAGAGTGCCCTTTTTGATTAGGTGCACCTTTGAAAAATCTTTACTGATACAACTAAAATTGTGATGGAGAAATAATCTCTGAAGAAGTGTTACTATGTTGCTCATCTTTATAGTCCTGAGATACCCTAAAGATGAAGAAGTGTGGTGGATCAAGATGGGATATGGGTCAAAATTAAAGGTGTGGATGTGTATATTTGTATATTTTAAAGAAAAGTGATAATAACTGTGACAGATTGTCATATCAGAAATGGCACCACGCTATACATGTGTTAACTATTTCAGTACTTTTGCATATGGTTTTAGTTAGCCAAGGGTGGTAACAAATCTCTTTTTAAGTTGGGGATAGATAATAATCTGGTAACAGTTTGGCAATGACAGTTATCCTGACCTCAGTAAGAAACAAAGATATCTAAATAGCAAAAATAGATACCATAATACCTACATATTAAATTCTGGGCACTTTACTCATTTAAGCTCCTTTAGATTCTTACTCAACTTTTTTTTTATTGTGATAAGATATATGTAACAAAATTTACCATTTTTTAAGTGTACAGTTCCGGGGCATTAAGTACATTCACATTATTTTGTGACCATCACCCCTCACTCTATCTCCTGAACCTTTTCATCATCCCAAACTGAAACCCTGTACCCATTAAAAAATAACTCCATTTCCTCCTTACCCCAGTCCCTCCTTACCCCATTCTTTCCTTACCCCAGTAACAACTGTTCTTTCTGTCTTTATGAATTTGACTATTCTAGGTACTTCATATAAGTGGAATTATACAATACTTGTTTTTTTGTGTCTGGCTTATTCCACTTAGCATAATGTCTTCAAAATCCATCCATCCATTTTGTAGAATGTATCAGAATTTTATTCCTTTTAAAAGTTGAGTAATATTACATTGTTGGTATATACCGCATTTTGTTTTTTAACTATTTATCTGTGGATGAACGTTTGGGTTGTTTTCACCTTTTGGATACTGTGAATAATGCTGCTGTGATCATTGATGTGCAGATATCTGTTTTGAGTCCCTGCTTTCACTTCTTTTGGGCATATACCCAGAATCTAATGCTGGATCAAATGGTGATTCTATGTTTTAATATTTTGAGATGCTCCTGTACTGTTTTCCACAATGGCTGCATTATTTTCTTTTCCTACGAGTGATGGACAAGGGTTTAATTTCTCTACATCCTCATTAATACCTGTTATTTTCTGTTTTGTTGATAATAGCCATTCTAATGGGTGTTTACTCAGCTTATTTTGTTTTAAGTCTGATATAGTTAAAATAATACGCATATTCTCCAGTCCATAAGAGCTCAGATACAACAAATTAGAAAGGACTTTTTTAAGAGATGAGGCATTTCAGTTGACAGCAGGATGTGAGTGAACTTTTGGAAAACTCACATAGGGAGCACTTTATTCCTTGATCTTCCTAGATAGTAAAACGTTACTCCAGATTATACTAGTCTAGATCTCTGTTGTCCTGTATGATAACTACTAGCTGTTTGTGGCTATTTAAAGTAATTAAACATAAGTAAAATTATAAAATCAGTTCCTCATTTACACTAGTCACATTTTAAGTGCTTAATAGCCATATGTAGCTAGTGGCTACCATATTGGAGAGTGCAGCTATAGAACGTTTTCATCATTGTAGAAAGTTCTATTGGACAGCACTGACCTGGATATTTGTTAGAGATGTTATTGAAGGGTAATACAGCACTATTTCTGTTAAGTGTGGAATAAAAGGTCACAGAAGGTTAAGATTTCAAACTTGTCTTACAATAATGGAAAATATAATGAAGTTTTTATGTAGTGATATGGGCTATTTACCTTGAGATTGGTAATCATCCAGTTACTCAACACCCATTTAGTGCTTTTGGGGGGCATAATTACACTAGGAGCTCTGACATCTTTATTTTCTTGTAGAAGATATCTCTCCCTCTCTATAGATCTATAAATATATATCTTCTACATATATAAAATATGTTTCTTACATATATAGGAATATATGTTGTACCACAGAAATGTATACATACTATTATATGTATATCTTCTATAAAAAAAAGTCTGTAGTATTTTCAGAAAATAGTCCATATTTAAATTTCCCTAATTATCACAATGTCTTTTATATTCCCCTGCCCCTCCCCACCGGTCAAGCCTCAGATATTGCAGTTGATTGCTATGTCTTTTTTGTTTCCTTTATTTTAAAAAAAATCCTTTCAAATAATTTCTCTTACTTTTCATGACATTGACTTGCTAAAGAAACTGGCCAGTTGTCTTGTGGAATGTCGCCTTCTGGATCTGTTTTTTTCCCTTGCTTTTTTGGTGTCATTTAGCTTGTTTCTCTAGCCTCTGTATTTCCTGTGAACTACAAGTTGGTTCTGAAGGCTTGATTTAGGTTCAGGTTAAGCAATTTTTGGTAAGAACACTTTGTAGCTGATGCTCTGAATTTGAGTTTATTATTTTTTCATGATGGTTATGTGAAAAGTTTTATAGAGTAACTCATCTTTTATAAAATACTTTCACATACAATTTTCTCTAGTAATATTCTTAACACCTTGATACTATCTTCACTGTGCTGATCTTAGTTTTTATGAGCTCTTAGAAAGTTCTGCAATTCTACTGGTTATTAAAAGGGAGTTATTTTGTCTCTACTGTCTTCTGACATTGTTTTTTAAAGGAAATATTAATCTTTTCATCATAGAAATAAGTGAAAGTTATTCTGTCTAAATGTTATTTGCAATTGTGCATGATTCTGTACAGGATAATGCCCCACCTTTGCTGTTAAACTAATAATTTCTCCCCTTTAAAAAATCAACTCAAAATACACCACTAGGTGAAAAAAGAACTAATAATGGTGAACTTAAGCATTATATAACTATCACTCAAAGCTTTCTGAATGGCATGAAGAATCAATCAGTGTTAATATGCTAAGTTTAAGAGGCAAATTCCCTTTTGTTGATATATCATTTGCACTAATTCCAGCTGATAGCGAAGTAACTTGATCTTTTAAATTATCCTGTGCTACTTTAAGTAAATTCATGGATTTTTAAAGAGTTTTGTCATGTTTAGTTGATTGTTTCTAAAATAATGTACAATATTTAATTTACTATTTAACTTTTTTGTTTGCTTTACTTTGGTTAGAAGGACAGTTAAAACTATGCAAGGGGTTTATATTGAGATACTGGTGGTATAAAGATAAAATATCAGTAATGACTCATGTCTTCAAAACTCATAGTAATGATACTAGCTGCTGTCGGTTAGGAGCCTATTATGTGCCATTGTGCACTTTATATGTATTATACTCAGTCCTTGTAACAATTACACATGATAAAAGAGGCAAGTTATCAGAGGTTAAGTAACTTCTCTAAACAGGCAGCTAATTTGTGATGGAATAGAGATTTGAACTCAGCACTGACTTTGAAGGGTAAAAAGCCTATGACTTTTACACTATGCCCTGCAAGTTCTGATGTGATTGCAACATAATAAAGTGAGAAAATATTCACTGTTTAATTACATTATAAGATTGGGCTTATTTTACTAATCAAGACTAAAATTTTGCTTTTGAGTTATGTTGTTTAGCAATGCATAGTTTAAATTAGAAAATCTAAATACTTCTGATTTTGTTTTTTCTTTTCTTCACTTCTAGATATTCAAGAATTTTATGAAGTGACCTTACTGGATAATCCAAAATGTATAGATCATTCAAAGCAGTCTGAACCAATACAGCCTGTAAATACTTGGGAAATTTCCAGCCTTCCAAGCACTACTGTGACTTCAGAAACACTGCCAAGCAGCCTTAGCCCTAATGTGGAGGTAAGATAAAATTTTTCCTGAAGCTATTTTTCAGTAATCAATTTATTGGGGCTGCTAAGTTTTTTCACTTTATTAAAATGGATATTATCTGGAAATATCATTGGATTACAAATATTTTTGAAGAGAAAAGCTCAGAATCTCTGGTGCCCCTTTCTTAATACGTTGTAATTGGTTTGAGGTCTGAAATACTTGCTTTAGACTATTAAAAAAATACTTTGTGTGAGAGACCTCAATGAAATCATATTTTGAAAAGGTGGTTTTGCTCTGGTTTTTTTTTTTTTTGAGAAATAGAATATAGTTTTGTCATCCTCGGCAGATTAGTTGCTACATTTACCCCAAAGATTCTCTGTTTATTTGACTTGAAGATTGAATTAATAAAACTCACTAAAGACTGATTAGTAAATCTTAAGGTTAGCATTGGTTTCTGCATTTTTCTGTAGTTAAAACTGTATTTCTTTAAGTTATAAAAACTATTTAGTAATGGTTTTTTTTTTGTTGTGACAGACCATTGCTGGTGGAGTTAGAACAGAGATGTATGAAGCATTTTGTAATGAGACTTCTATCTGAGAAACATTAGTCATTTGAATGTGGTTGTCTGACTGAATTTGATTCTAGTCCCTTCTAGTTTG